AAGAATGTCCCCGCTTGTGCATAGCTAGATGGTTATTCCTTATTCATTCCCCTAACCAAACAACAAATGGTCAGTTAAAATTAAAAGTGAATGAATATTAAACAGAAATAATTTTAATCCAAACAAAATAATTATCTTTGGAACTCATCACATCAAGATGTGACTGAGACAAAAGTATTAGCAATATTAAAAGAGAATAAGATGTGTATATTAAGATTACCTTAGTAATTAAAAAACTAAAACAAGTTTAAGAGCATAAAATTTTCCTGCAAAGTATTTAGGTACATTATGTATTTGTTTAGGTACATTATATGTTTGTTTTCTTTCGCACTTCTTCATAGAAAATATATTGAACTATTGGTACATTGGACTGTTATGGTTTTGCATAGATATGTAAATAAAACTCCTGTTTTGCTAGACTAATTCAATATTTTAAAAAACTTATTCTAGCTTATGAACTTCAAAAATTTGTACAATCATAGAATGATTAATATTTAGGGATTGATCAAATCTCAGGAGGTCACCTAGTCCCTTCAACCCCCTGCTCAAAGTGTGGACCAACCCTAACTAAATCAAGGGGAAAAAATAGGAAGGATGAGATGAAAGTGACTGATCTTAAATTCTCTTTCCTCTGTATCTGTCCAGGGCCATAATTCACTTTACCAAAAATATTTTAAAGACCAGCCTTTTACAACAGTAGTGTTCCCCAATCCCAGGCCTAAAGCAAACTAATGTCTTCAGTTGTAAAACTGCATACTGTTAATATTAAATAGTCCTCTGATAGTTCTCAGAAATTTCCTGGAAAATTAATATCAACATTACAATACTTTTACCCTGAGTAATATCCCTCAGATAAAGTGTTTAAAGTAATTTTGCATATTGTTTCTTATGTCAAGCCACTTCCATGATGTAAAATAAAATTTCCCTTGCTTATTTCAGTAGAAAATTACATCCTGAGTTAATATTTCAGTGTAATGCATATGAAATATAATAAAAGTGGCATTAATGTAATGTATACTTATAGCATGACTGACTTCATGTTTTCATTTCAAAAGCTTTTCAGTGTTTGGTGGCATGATACAGTGCTCTCTAATAGTATTTTATTTGAGTGTAGTGCCACACACAACTAATTATAATAAGCACTAAAATAAAGCTAATCCATATGCAAAATTTCATAAACATGTGGAACATGTCATAAAATTTCTAAGGCTAAAACTGGTATTTACAGATACTACTAGGCTATCTTTAAAATGTATGGAGGATTGGGTCAGTTCAGAGAAATGTCTGGAAGTTTGAACAACTTCCTAATCCTTGGGCACAATACTGTCTATACTCAATACTACCTGTCATTGGGTATGTCTAAACTACATCCCTTTTGACAAAGGGATGTAAATTAGACATATCAAAATTGTAAATGAAGCCAGGATTTGAATTTCTCATGCTTCATTTACATAATGGTGGTCACGGCTTTTTTTTCGAAAAGCCACTTTTCGGAAAAAAAAAAAAAGGTCAAGACGGGGATCTTTCAACAAAAAGATCTGAGGTTTACAGAATTTTTTGAAATGGGACATTTCTGTCAAAAGATCCCCGTATTGACCACGGGTTTTTTTCGAAAAGCGGCTTTTCAAAAAAAAGCTGTGGCCGCCATTATGTAAATGAAGCACGGGAAATTCAAATCCCATCTTCATTTATAATTTCGATATGTCTAATTTAAATCCCTTTATCGAAAAAAGGATGTAGTTTAGACATTTTGTTCTTACTTGGCCAAAACCTCTTTCCAACTGAGGTACTGAGTCTCATGTACTTGATTCCCATGAGAAATCTTTATTCAAGTAAGTAATTCCACTGAATCTAATGTATTTAATTTTCCTCTCACAAACTGGCATAACTCAATTAACTTAAATGAAGCTACTCCTGATCTACACCATCAAGAAAAGTCAAGCCCACTGGGTATACTTATGCAACTAAAGATTTGTCACACAAACAAGGCTTTGTGAGATTTGGTACTTTTATAAGAGTTTTGCCTCAATAAAGACAAAAAAATGGGATTTTCAAAAGTGCATAATGCAGAACTTCAAAGGTATTTAGGCACCAAACTCCCAATGAACCTATTCAAAGTCAATAGTGGGGGTTTTTCCTGAAAGTTATTTAAATTCATAAGTGCTATTGAAAACCCCATCCTAATTGCATGGTTGGTATCATTATCTCAATTATCTAGTTCTATCAAATCTACAAAATAAGGGGCTGAAAAAACTGAAAGAGATTTATTACTATTATTTTCCTATGGTCTAGAACTAGAATAGAAAGATACATATTTATACAACATGAAAAACACTGAAAACAAATTTAATGAATATTTTTCCTTATCAGGAAAAAAATGCCACTGGACAAAGTTGATTAGTTTCAGCTAAAACAACTAAAGCTGAAGATGAGAAGAGGATGAACTAATCCCTATTTTTAAAAAGCATGAAAATGTTGAACAGAAGTAAATATAACCATCTAGATCACTCTATTCTGAGTACCGATCCCTGCAGTCCAACTGAAAACTCATATGCACAAGAAATGCCAGAACAGACCCTTAAGAAGTTATTGGGTGATAGAATAAGTTATTTGCTATAATTACCATGCTTAGAAACAATGTAAAAAGATCAATAGCTAGGATTTGATGGCACAATGGTATGACTTATCCCTCTCAATTTTCTGTGCCACCTAATTTCTCATATGAAAAACAAGGTAATTACATAGTAGTTAAAATAACTGAAAGTGGATACAAACAGATACTGTCTCCATCCTCAAAAGCTGACAGGTTTACTTCTGAATGCTTAATTAATCAATAATAATTATAGCTCGGTCTTGTCCCATTAATGTACATGAGAATTTTTTCCTTTAATTCAAAAGAAGCAGGATTAGGGTCTATATAATTATTCAGTATTGTACACATATGTATTATGCTAACATTATATTTCTTGAGTATTTTATAAGGCTTCTTAGAGATATAACATGTAATGTATAAAATACTAGCCCCCTGGAATTCAATGGTAGAACTCCATTGACTTTAATGGGGCCAAGATTTCACCCAAAAGGTGGACTTCTAAATGTTATTTAACACATGTAATTAGAAAACTTACATGGTAATCAGACATTTTGCAATGTATTTTGTTTCTTATTTTTTCTAACATTAATAGAGTAATATTGTTTGCCTTTAAATATACCTGCCATTATTTCATTTTACATCCCTAACATAAAGAGATGTTTCCATTTCTATTGATTCTACATGAATTGTTTTACCTATATTAATATTTTGATAAACTGTTTTGATGCATTAAGAGCAAACTGTGTGCATAATTAATTGTATTTTAGAATTTTCTTTTGTATTAATCTTATAACAATCTGTATTTTCCATGTTGCAGTAACCAAACTGTAATTCCTGATCATTTTCTCCATGATATATAACAGGACCTAATTCACAGATACAAGGAAACCTCAATATTTCACATATGGCTGGTAGTATCTGATTATAGTATCAACATTATTTAGATCAATATAGAAGACGCTCTTATCCTAGAGTATCTTGAATTATGTCATAATAAACTTGTACCTGCACTATGTTATGAACTACCCTTTATTGTTCTTTCATTTAATTAAATTTACAAATGTAAAAAGGCTTGTTTTTTCAAACAAATGGCAGAGCAGAGATAAACAGCTGACAAAATAAACAGGATGCAGAATGACTGTATATGTAAGTATTGACACTAAAGACAGAAGGTGTTACATAATAAAGATCACCCACAAATAATGTTTTCTTGTTTTTCATGGTGAGCGAAATTTTACAGAAATAATAAAGGCAAATTTCTCAGCCATAAATGTCATGCAGCTGCTCAATGAACACTTTCATTTGGCATACATATTTTACCTTATTATATTTTTACTTTCAACTTTTGATATGAAGCTTCATTATTTTCTTTTATATATTCTGTCATTTTTCATAATTCTCATTCTTATATGTAATTTTTGTTCTAGATGAACAAAATATTATATTATTTTACATTAGCTGCAAAGTTGTTACACTTGAACTAGGACAATTAAGAATAGTGTATTGTTAAAAAGATCTAGATGTTTTCGAAATAAATATGTTCACATTGTTTCAAAATCTCCAATAGTAATAATGGATACTGAAGATGAATCCCAGTGATTTATATGTAAGAAAGCAAGCAAGGAACATCTCCTTGACTTAGCTCACTTACTGTTATAAATATTTAATTATTTCCCATCTGTGGGATAAAAAATGTTTTACTTCCTCTGTTACCCTGTCTTTATGGGACTGGCATTACACTTGCTAAACATATTACAACAGTATGCCATTCCCCATGGTGTGAAACCATATACCCCTTGTTTGACTTTCCTCATCAATTAAGGAAATTTCACAAATAAAACACTGATTTATATCAATAAATATATCTCTACAGATAATGGACAAATCCAGGCCTCCCCTTTCCCCAACAAAAAATAAATCTAGATAATTTCTCCGCTCTACCCACAAAAAATCAAACAAGGTCACTACCCAAGTATAATTCTACATTGCCCACTTCTTTTGATTTACCTGAGACTGACTTCACTCTCCCAGCCCACCATGACTATATCCCATATTAATCCCTCCCATACTAGAAATAACTCCAGGTCACCATCAACAAGAACAATCCTAGTTTAACATGAAGTACATCCCCAGATTACACCCTATCTCAAAAGAATCCCAAATTACATTCTCCTCTCTCCCAATTTTGGAGAAAATAATCACACCGTACTCTGTCACAGAAACACTTGGAGGATGGTCAAGGGAGGACTGAGATATAACAGAGGAGTTAGGAATGAGGAGGGGAGGGGGAAAGTACGAATCAGAGAGAGATTCACTCTTCTGGTGGAAACACCATGCAGTCTTTATCTGCTACCTTTCCTCTCCCTTAAGGGAGTGGCTGGTAGGGCAAGCTAAACTGAAGTCTTACCTTCACTGCAGTCCTTCCCCCGAAAGCCAGTTTGGGAGCAGTCACAGACAGCCTGGTCATTGAGCACCGAGCAGATGCCACCATTGAGGCAAACGTCGTCACTGGCACACAGGCGGCTCTGCTCATCATCCAGCCGCACCTCCTGACTCTCCACAGGTGAGGCCTGTGTATAGTTGACCCTGACATCAGTTATCCAGCCTTTAAAAGGCTCCCGGTCCTTCACTGAGGACAGCGTTAGTTTCAGGGTTGCTGAGCGCAGCTCAGGTGGGAGCCCACCAAGAAAGAGGCCACTGAAAACAGTCATGTCACGCCGCTTGGACTTCACTTCCACCCACTTTGCCTCAGTCTGGTCAATGAGCAGTGTCGTATTCTTAAAATGGCGACGGATGACCACCGTGTGCCAGAGGTTGTCGTTGACAGCTGTGTCAGTCAGCAGGGTGGCAGGCTCAGCACAGAAGATAGAGAAGCTGAGCTGAAGCCGCCCCCCTTGGGTCAAGATCAGCTCCAGAAAGTCACAGAATCCCTCATCATCAAAATAGAGGACCAACCCACTGGAGCTGCGTGTCTTCATATTGAAGCTCATTTCACTCTCACAGCAAGCATTCCACTTGGGAAAGCGGGTCCATTGGCCCTCAGCCCCTGGGAACTCCAGGCCACTGCCAAGCTCAGCCCAGCAGCCCAGTAACAGGGCCATCCACAGCAGGAGGCAGCCCCCACGCTTGAGGAGCATAGCCCCCATTCTTTGTGGGGTTGGGCCGGGGAGAGGGGGGCGAGGAGGGGGGAGAGGTGGGGTGGGGTCTGGAGCAGACAGGGTAAAATCTTTCCAGTCACCTCTCACACTAAACAGTGGACTCACTCTTCTTTCCCCTTTACACTTCAGTTATTGTAAATGCCTCCCTGCAAGAGAGGCCCAGACTGTGAGTGCCCAAGATACAGGTGTGAATTGTAAGAGATCTTCAGCAAAAAAGAAGGCACCCACGGGCTTCCTCACTGATTAACTTGGCTTCTCAAGATGCATCTAGGGACATATAGATCATCAGTAATTATTCCAAAAACCTACATTACCAATGTTGGAATGTGCGGGGGATGTAAAAAAAAAACCCCTTCTCCAAACGGTATCCACAAATCCAGTAAGAATGCATCACAATTCCAGTGTGTATGGAATGTGTACTTTTTACATTTATCCACCAATTGTATTTTCCCAAGGGTTTTTCTTCTCCTTTTTCAGAGAATAAATTACCAATTCCAGTACTGCCTTCCTGGAACAGATCCTCCTGTCAGATCATGGACTGCCTGCCATGGTGCTACAGCAGCACAAGCAGACCATAGGATTCATTGCTCATGGTTTCCTGCGCTGCCTCGTTCCCAGTGGAGATGGAATCCAGAAGCTGTCAAACAGCTCAGTAGCTACTTGACATGCAAAGTGTGACAGCTTCTCTTCTGTTCTCCTATACAAGGCCAAAACTATGATCCAAGGTTTTGGGGGTTATTTTTGTTTTGTTTTTTAATCTGCAAAGAATTAAAACAAACCAATATCAAATTATATCTTAACATTTAAATTGCATGAGTGATAATTTATCTTTGTTTATTCTTAACTTAAACCAGTGTTTAAAATAAGGAACAAAACTTGTAAATTCATTTGGAGATACTGAGAATTTATATCTATTACACTAAACCTAAACCTTACACAAAAATATGCTTTTGTGCTATTGCCTCTATAAAGATTGCTACTTACTGTTTCAAACATTGAACCTTTTTGTACCAGATTTCATTTTTTGTAAGACTTGATATGCTCAAAAGGAAAGGGCTATTAAACGGCATTAATTATTCTTATTGATACCCGAGTTTCCCTTTAACTTAATTTGTTTAATAGAATATAGACACTACAGAGTAATATTAATGCATACCATGCCACCTAGCCTGGTTCTGATTATTTCCAATATGTTTAAGAACATGTAAAGTGGAGCAAACTCTCCCCAGGGATCAGCTGGCTTGAATTTATATGGCATTATTTTCACAGAGGGAGGCAGAATTACAATGGTTTCTTAGAAGGTGTTCTGAAAATTTCAAACTATATTTTTCTCTGCCACCTGACCTCTTTTACTGCTGAAATTATCTGTTATGGTAGGTAAAATCCAATTGGCAACAGCTATGCTGTTGACATTAGGCACACCACAGTTCAGCTAATATCAGGTGTTTAATCCCTCTGGGCTAGGGTACAGTATTTTGAATAGATGCCCAATTATCCCTGTTTAAGAAGAACAAAGCTCCCCTCCCCCCGGCACACATTTTTTTCTGTATATGCAGTGTACTTGCCACAATCCAGACCCTTCCTCCCAAGAGCTCTCCCAAGGCAAAGCATTGCAGGGGCGTTGAAAGGAGTGTCCCCATTTTTCGATCCCCTCCCACCGCAATCCCCGTTATGTGTTTCTCGGCAGGTGCGTATTTGCTTTTCAGGCTCCGACGAAGAGCTCCCCTCTTCCCCCGCCCACTTCCAATCTCGCCCTCTGCTCTCAGCCTCCGGCCCAGCCGTGCAGCTCCGCAGCGGGCGCCGAGCCTGCCCTTTGGCTTGGGGGCCTGCGGCTCCGGGGCACAGGCCGGGACGCGGCCCCACGCGAGCAGCGTGTGCACCTTTCCCTCCCACACACCGTTACATTGCCTTTGCCTCGCCTCAACTTCACGGGGTTTCACTGGCTGCTCCCTAGAGGGGGCCGCCGCCCCCAGGGGAGCGGGGACTGGACGCTGCATAGACAGCGCCCCCTGCGAGAGCCGGGCACTGTGGAGCGCGCGCGCGCCAGCCAGGCTGCCCAGGGTCCCCCGCACGCCCTCACCCCGGCCTCCTAACCAGCACTAATTTATTGCACCGCATTGAGCCCGGCCGGCGCTCCGGCTACAGCGCCCGAGGCAGCCCCGCCCCGGCCGCGGACCGGTTCCTCACTCGCCGCCGCCGGGCCAGAGAGCAGATCCCCCCACCTGGCTCCGCCCAAGCGGGGGAAAGCCCCGCAGCTCCCTCCTCTTCCCGACAACCACCCCGGAGCCTCCTGGCTCCGTCCCTCTGCCCGAGCCCACTCGTGTTTGCAGAGGGGAGGGCGTCTGAGTGCGTTATTTGGGGTCTGCGTGGGGGGAGGCAGCGTGGATATGTGATTGGGTCTGTGCGACGAGGTCAATGCTCCCGACTGCGAGTGAAGGTGCTAGTGAGAGGGCAGCGTGTGTGTGTGATTGTGGGTCTCTCTGTGGGGGCATTAGATGTGTGAGGATCTCTGTGTGGGGGTGAGAAGTGCGTGTGAATGTTAGGTCGGTGCATGTGAGCCAGACAAATACAGTGTGGGGGGCTCTTTTGGGGGGGTCGGTGTGGGGGGGGAGGGGGGGCTGTGTGGGTGAGAAGGGATCACCGGGGGTGTCAACTTACTACAGTGCTTGTATGAAGTCGTCATTGTGTCTATGGGACATTGTGTGCGAGACAGAGACACGGGGTATTGTGTGTCTGCATGAGACCGAGCAGCAGGAGTATTTCTGCATATGGGAACAGAAAGGGGCGAACGCGTGTGTCACGGCATCCCTGCCTCTGTGTATGTGGGACTAGGTCTGTGCCGGGTGTATGCATATGACATTACCATTGTGGGTCTTTGTGCGCCTAATTGGGCACTGTTTGTCTAGATTGGTTTCATTTATGTGCGCGAAAGGGTCGCTTTGTGGGCGTTATAACGTATATGGAAGTGGATTAACTATGTATGGGAGAGTCATTGTGTGTTTTGGGGGTGGTAGTGATTGTGGGTTGTGTGATGAGGGGAGGAATGAAGTGTGAGATTGCGAGCATGTGACACCGCGAGGGGAGGGGTGCGACGGTGCGTGGGACGCAGGGGTTCACTGTGTATGGGGAATTGTGCTAATTGTGTGAGTACATGTAACAAGAGGGAGCCCGAAGGAGGGAGGAAGCAGCGTGAGTATAGGGAGATAATCGTGTATGTCCAATGGGGAGCCACGAACAGAGGTTTAGGAAGCTGCACAGGTGCACGATTCTGTGTAAAGGGGGAGGCACATGAGTGGGGTTGATCATGTGAAGGAAGGCGTCCTGTGTGCGTGTGTATGTGTGTGCGTGTGGACACCCAGCGAGCTGCATGTCTAGAGGGAGTGTGAAAAAAGTAGGTATATGTTTGTGTGCTCGTGTGTGGAGGAGGAGGAGGGATGTACAACAGGAGTAGCTCAGTATGTAGTGTGAACGTGTAGAGAAGGTGGAGATGGGGGTAGCACCAGCTGGTGTGTGTGTATATGTATTTTTATGTAGGGAAGAGGTGATCTAGGAGTGAATGACAGAGCCATCCCTACAGCTGTCAGCTGAGAGCCATCGAGCCAGGGGATCCCACTTCAAGATATTTTCTAGATGGAATTGATGACCCTCTCTGTGCTTGTCTATGCTGCTTCTCCCTCTCTTTCATACATATGCGAAAGAAAGAAAGAAAGAAAGAAAGAAAGAAAGAAAGAAAGAAAGAAAGAAAGAAAGAAAGAAAGCCCTTTCTAATTGCTTATTTATTATAGCTGATTCAATTCATATACTATCGATAAACAGCACAGTTTTTCTAGTCATTTCCAAAGCAGGAGAGGTAATTTTATCTTTGATAGAGCAAATTATTTAGCATACATGTTTTAAGTGGGATCTCGGGTACAAGATCCTCCCCCCCCCCCATATGAAAATATCAGGTGAGAATACTGGACTCCGCCGCTCATCGGTTAAAATAAAGCGTTTTCCTGCCTCCCCTTCATACTCATTTTATTCTTAAAAATATGTTTTAATCACAGGTGCCCCAACTGAGCTTTCTGAAAGGAAAAAGAGAGAAAAGGAGAGACACCCATAGTTCAATCAATCCATAATAAATGGCAGGTCAGTAGGCATTTACAATCCTTGGCAGAATCCTTATTGTATAAAAATCCACAGGCTTGGGTCTTGGTTGCGGGGAAGACTTAGAGAGTTCAGAAATTACAGTCTGAAATAAAAGGATCTGAAAAACAGCCTTGCTTTAGTCAGAGAAGCGCCCTAATTCAAAAACAGTCTTAACAGCATCATTAATCTTTTTCTTTCATTTCTAAGTAAATTCTAGAATCAAATTTGTTCCTAAGCTACTGGAATGATCGATTTTGCTACCCTTACAGCCTGCAGTTATATTAATTTTAATATATTTATGATATAATTTCTGTCCCTCCAAGAACGCATGCCATCAGCAGGGACCTAAACAGTTCAAACATATATAAATGCAGTTGGGTGTTCCTTTTTTTTTCTGGCTCCCAATGAAAAACGTCCCAGAATATCAATGCACACCCTGCATAATCCCGCTTTTTTCCATCAGACCCCCAATACAAAATATCTTTTTCATTGCCGCTCCGACTTCACAAAACAGCAGACACACACAAAAATACCGATTTTCATTTCTTGAGTCTCCAACCACCAGCCTTTGCTTTGCAATTGACCATAAATCACCGCAGCCAACGTTTAACTTACTACCTCAGTTCCACCATCTCATCTCCTTGCCATCTACCTATTCAAAACGCAAACCAACCAGCCCCTTGTGCATCCGACAGATCCAAGCTCTGTTAAATGGGAGCTTTCCTCCTCCACCTCCCTTTCCCCGTATCCCCCAAACCAGGAGCCTGCGATTTACCTGCATGGATTTTCTCTTTAGCTTGTAACAGAGCTTGAAGCAAGTGTCGGTCAACGAGAATTTCTTTAGGTCTTTGAATAAGGCAAGTGCAGTTGCCTTTTCAGCGGCGTCAGGCTGGAGCTTCTGTCTCCAGGAGGGAGGGAGGGGAACAGAAAGGAGGGGTCGGTCACATGACGCCTGGTGCTGCCTGTCTGCAAGAGGAGGGAGGAGCTGTGCTCTCTGCAGCACCGTGGACAGCAGCATCCCCGTACACAGACTCCAGACAGAGCCATCACAGCAGTCTGAGCAGAAGGACCTGCACCTCTCCACACGGGCCAAGTGCCTTCCAGGCGTAAAGCCGGTGCAATCAGGAGAGTTGCACCAAGATGTGAGCTTGTCTTTACGGGGTTGTGAATTGTGCAGGGCTCAGTTTTTATGGATAGGAGCACTGAACCCTCAGACCAGTTTCACAGGCATAGACAGCACCCTTACCCACTCAGAACTTTCCACAGTAGGCATTGCCTAGCCCCACCGTGTGCCGCAAGGCCTGCCATAGCTCAGCCTCTGTCTGCAGAAGACAAAACACTCACCCTGTCACCCCAATTCCACAAGGTCCAGCCTTTAGGGAGTCACAGGACACTGCATTAATCCCCAGTTCTTGCATTCAGGCACTCCCCTATCTAGTATCCAAAACCCACAGCACTTTCACTCTCTTAGATGTGGGCAGAAAGGCCAGTGGCCTTTATCCATGTCTCCCATTGTCTTTGAATGGCTGCCAGTGAGTCTTATCTTTCATTGAGTCTTAAGGGAAATCCTGAGGCCCTGCCCCTCTCTGCTTTCTTACAGGAAATAGCAGTATAAGGCCTGTTGCCTCAAAACTACAGGGAATATGCTGGAAAATGAATCCCTGGCCTCTTTCCTCTCCTGCAGTGACAACAGTTACCTCAGTCTGAGCCAAGTATAATGCCTGAACACTACATACATAGTTTTCCCCAGCTCTAGAAACCCTGCTCAAAGTGGGGAGAGGTATGAATACTATTTCCTGTAGCCAGGCCCATAGAGAGACAGCTTGTTACCCCAGTACATGATGATTGCTGGGCCCCCAACCTCTCCCATTTCAATGTATTATTCAGGCTATGGCTACACTGCCTTTTTTTGTGGAAGAAGATATGCAAATCACACTCGCATTTGCATATCTTCTTCCAATTCTTTTTGCGGAAGAGGTTTTACTGTTATTTGGCCCCATATAATGGGGCCAAATGTTGAAAAAAACAGCTTCTTTTTCAAGACCCTATAAAGCTTGATTTATGTGTAATAAGGGGTCTTGAGAAAGAGGGTTTGGGTTTTTTTTGCGACATTTGGCCTCATCACACCGGGCCAACTAGTGGCAAAACCTCTTCCACAAACAGAATTGGAAGAAGATATGCAAATGTGAGCATGATTTGCATATCTTCTTCTGCAAAAAAATGGTGGTGTAGCCATAGCCTCAGATATCTTTTGAGGGGCTCCAGAGCTTGAGACTCTGGTACAATTGTTTTCCTTTCTACCCTCTCTCATCAGCCCTGTCACAGTACTGTATGTTTTTTGCTACAAGGGAAGGAAATGATGAGCTTGTTCCTTCAAAGCCTTCCAGCAGCTTTGGGGGAAAGTCACCCTCACCTTGCCAGGGGTACCCCTAAAAGAAAGAAGATTGAGAGCAGACAATGGAAGACGTTTGATGGTTGCTCCAGCTGCACTGTAGAGATAAGGCCACATCATGCACTGCACTAAATAAATCCAGATGCCTGGGTAAAGTATACTTGAATTTTTGGAAGAAAAGACAGCATGAAGAGACACACCCTTCGAGCTCTTGAAGAGGAGTAGAGTGGCAATCTATCACAGAAGGAAGACACCATGAACTCATGAAATATAAGAAGAGTATCCCACTATAAGGGTATGTCTACACTACCACCCTAGTTCGAACTAGGGTGGTTAATGTAGTCATTCGAAGTTGCAAATGAAGCCTGGGATTTAAATATCCTGGGCTTCATTTGCATCTTGACGGGCGCCGCCATTTTTAAATCCTCGTTAGTGCGGACTCCGTGCCCACGGCTACACGTGGCACAGAGTAGGTAGTTCAAATTAGGCTTTCCATGAGGCGTAACGGTAGTTGGAATTAGAAAGCCTAATTCGAACTACCTACTCCATGCCGCGTGTAGCCGCGGGCATGGAGTCTGCACTAACGGGGATTAAAAAATGGCGGCTCCTGGCAAGATGCAAATGAAGCCCGGGATACTTAAATCCCGGGCTTCATTTGCAACGTCGAATGACTACATTAACCACCCTAGTTTGAACTAGGGTGGTAGTGTAGACATACCCTAATATATTTCCATTTGCACCACTGCCTTCTGTTGGATGACAGCTGTGTATGCCACTGTGAAGTTTTGGTGTCTGTATTCTAAACAGGATGAAAGCCCTATTACTAACACAGCTAGTGGAGCGCCAAATCTGAATGTTAAAATAACCCCCCTGTTTTTTTTAAAGTCAAAGCTCCTGAATTCTACTCCAGACAATATATGTGGTGAAATGTTGTTGTCTGTTTCCTGTCATGAATATGTTACAGATGTTGGATGTAAATCCCAAGAGATAGGAGCATCAATTGTCTAGTCTAGGTATGTATTACTACCCCCCTATAGATGTAAAATCAGGCCTGTTAGAATGTATGGCTATGTTACCTTCAAATGTCTACACTACAAAAGATATAAGCCCTTTTAAATATTCTTCTTTGTTTCAAACTCTGTCATCTGAAGGTTCTGTTAGAGAGGAGTAATATTTTTTTCAGTTTGGTGGCTGAACCAAAACCAAATTAAAATAAAATCAATGTATACATTTGATTAATTTGAAACTACGACTGTTTGTTGTTGTTTTTTTCTGGCTCAAAGAAAAACAAAAGTTACTTCATTTGAATGTAACAACATTTTAAAATATTGTTTGGACATGACATTTTTAGTGTGTGTTTATTTGAAATGACATTTTGAAACAAAATGTTGATTACAAAGTGTCATTTCAAAATTATATGTAAAAACAGTTAATCAAAAAATGCCAAAATATTTACACATGTATTTTTCCTTCTTTTTTAATGTTGTGTTTTTTTCTGAAACTATTAACCAAATTTGTCCATATTTAACCTAGATTTTCTCCTAGGTTCTATTCCTGATGTCATATGACATGTACATAATTTGGGGTGACCATAATGCTTATTATTTGTAGTCATGAATTTATTACACTGGTGCTTGAAGAATTAAACATGAAGTGATTGAGTGGTTTGCATGCAAGAACCTTTGCCTAGGATATGGAAACATTTGCAAATGTAGTCCTAGATTAATAATATCAAAAGAACCCCAAAGATAATTTGATATTGGGCCAACACAGAGTTTGTTACAAACCATTTGCACAGCTTCATTCTCAGCCTTCCAGGACACTTAAAAACTCAGTTTGGATTAAGCTCCCAAAACAAATAATGCCAGAAAATATTAGTTCATTCCCATTGTTAAATCCCACTGTTATCCATGTAATTTTTAAGGCATCCTTCCTCATAGATGACAGGTTTGAGGCAGTAACCAAGCAACATGTTAACTAATGTGAATAAGAGCTTTGCTAGAGATATAATTTATCTTCAATACTTACAGCATAATCAAACATTCTTTATATTCAGCCAGATGAGAATCACATCCAGTTATTTTCAAATAAAAAGAGTGGAAATTTCTCTAATAACTTGACCTGTATCAACAGCTCAATGAGCAAACTTCTCCTCTGCTAAGAAAAATGTATCTAAAAACAACAAGGAGTCCGGTGGTACTTTAAAGACTAACAAATGTATAAGGGTATTAATATATAACACATAGTGTAAAAAGACCTTTGTATGGATGAATTGCTATTTTATTGTAACAACAAAATGTAACAATCTTGTGGATATTTTGAAAATATCAAAATTCCCTTCTTGTAATACTTAAGCTCCTGAGTATTTCTTTTAGCGTTGTTAAGCAAGTCAACATTTTCCAATTTAGACCTATTTTTAACTAATCAAGTGAAAGGCAAAACTTCAACTGACGTCAAGGACAACATCAGTTCTTAGTAGGAAAGCCAACATTACTCATATAGGAATACCAGGTACTAAAGAGATATGTGAGAAGAGGGGGAATTCTTCCAGGCATCAGGCTGAGGAGTGGTAGCAGCCTCCAATGTAGCCTAAGCATAAGTATTGTTTCTTTAAATCTGTTAAAAGAAGCCAGACAAGAGGTGAGTGGGGAAAGTTTAAACAGAGGCAATGCACTGAGTCACAGAGAAAAAGAGAGATTATTGAAATGCTATTTTCCTTTTCTGATAAAGTTCCTTGTTCAGTGTTAGAAGAAAGTGTTTCTTTCTGTGATTCTTTATCTTTGTCACACGGCATACCATAAGACATTGACTGATTTTAAAACAGTATGAATGAGAGGAAAAAAAACTGCCAGCATTTATCATGTCACACATTTTTCATTTTTGTAAACCTATAGAATGGCCTAAGTGGAAGGAGTACTTCACCAGATTCCTAATCACACTAAAACTTAACATGAATCATTCATTAATGCAATGGGGAGGGATGCTGAAAATATTTATAAATCTTTTTTCCTTACTCTGTGAAAGCTGATGAATGATATTTGTAAAAAATCAGAAGAGCATTTCTTTATCAAAAGGAAAGTCACACATTATTGAACACTCTGATTCAGGGATCTAGATGTCTTTAGGAAGGGAATATGCAGAGAATTGTGACTTTGATGTCATTAGGAAGTAGTAGTTGAGATATTAAACAAGGAACTTGAGGACAAATTTCAGTTAATACTGGAGCTGACTTTGGAACAGCCAGAGTACATGCTATGTCCACCAGACCTATTGAAAATGCAAGTCATCCAGCAAAGAAGTTGCAGAAGCTTAGTATAAAAGTAAAGAATTCTCATGGAGAACAAACAAGCACCTAATAACACAAGACCATTGGAAATATGGAAATTATGCAAAGGGAAAAAGAAGTAGCTGTAGTTTGTACTTGAGATGAGACCTACATCTAAATTAAAGCAGCTCTAGGTAGCCATCAGTTGCACAAGAGGAAAGATATATTTATTAGGTATATTCTTAAAGGCTGCACT